GGGCAGCTAGGTGGTACACTGGATAGAGCACTGGCCCTGGAGTCAGGAGGATCTGAGTTCAAATCTGACCTCAGACACATAATACTTCATAGCTGTGTGACTCTGGGCAAGTCACTTAACCCTAACTGCCTCACAAAAAAAAAAAAAAGACTCCAAGAAAGGCCGGATAGCCACTTACTGAGTATGTTGTAGCAAGGATTGTTTTTTCAAGTACAGGTTGGACCAGATGATTGTTGAGGTCTCTCTCTTTTCCAACTCCAAAATTCTGTGATTTTAGGACATTCTGAAGCAGCCACTCCACTTTGGAACAGCTCTAACTGTTAGAAAGTTCTTCCTTATGTCAAGTATACATTTGCCTCTTTGCAACTTTGCCCATAAAAGACAAGGTCAATCTTTTGGACATCATCCTGCATGGCCAAATCTGTACAAGCCAAACCTAATAACCCTTCAGATACTTGAAGACAGAAATCCCAATGCCTGGGATGCCCTCACTTCCCATCTTTGTTGAATTTCTACCCATACTTACAGCCTAAATCAAATGTTCCCTCTGGCCCATGGAGCACTTTGTTTTGTGCCTCAAATGAACTTAAATCTAAGTGGGTGTGTGTGATCTTTTCAATGTCCTTATTCCCTCCAATGGGAGAATTCCCAATACATCAATGCTTTCTCCTTCTCTGGGATTCTGGCCCACATCCTGTAAGTCCTCTAAAGAGAATCTAACCAAGAACTGGAAGCCTTTCTCTAGGTCTTTTAACATTCTGTGAGTACAGGTATAGTACTCAGGCCATCTTTCTATCATCCCCAAAATCTAACATAATGCCCAAAACCTAGTAGGTGCTTAATAAATGCTCCTGATGGTGTGATTCCTTGCTCTCAATATATGCCGTTTCCTTTTTCCTGAATATCTTTTATGCCACTTCTTATATGATTCATCACTTGTAATATGCTACAGCCTAATTAAACCTACTATCTATCTCTCCTCTGGCCTTTGCATCATTTATAATTTTGATTATTCTCCACATATGGAGTTTTGTAATTCATAGGCATGCAGCATTACCGGAAAAATAATGTTAAAACAATGGGTTTTTGTGTTAAGCAACAGCCTGAGGTCATTGAATACACTACACAATTTCCCAAATGTAATTCAATCCACTGAGTTTCTTCCATTCAACTCTTGGCCCAGTTCAATGTCCATCTGTAATGACTGTCAAAAACATACATAACAATATACTGATTCATTGGACTCTTCGTCCATTTGAATGCACAATGTGCAACAGACAGATATTCCCTATCTATCTAGTTCTTTCTGTGTGGACTGTTTAGTTGATCTATTCTGAGTCCTCATAGATTTCATTGAGGAGGCTCTATAGAATTTGAGGGCTTGATGAAATCAACACAGTATCAAATGAGAGTATAAGCATTCTCATCAACTTAAGAAATCCTTTCATTTGGACTCTGTGCAGTTATCTTCCATGATAGAATTAAACACCTTTGGCAAGCATACATGTTCCCATTTTGTTTCACTTCATATTAGTGGTTAGAATATGGTTCAACCACGTTCTGTGACTGCATTTACCAACAAATCTTATATGATGGTAATATATGCATGAAAAATATCATGTTGGAGGAGACAACCTTTAATGCAACATTTTGCTCCATTAAATCAAATGCTTTTTTTTATAATGAGCAAAGTGGAACACCTATTAGTAAAATATAACTGTGAAAACATGGTGCCACCCTCACCAATGATGTCACAAAGATTTTATAGCTATGAGAACATAAACATATGGGTTGATACTTATTTATATCTTCCTGATCACTTTTTTTTTGTAATAATATACTGACTGTGATTTCTCCTCCAATTATTTGGCATCTTGCCCTCTTTCAAATATCTTGAAAAATCAGTCCTTTAATGCTTTCAAAACTATCACCTCCAACAGTTTTCTTCTTTATTCTGTATTTGGTTTGCTCCAGGGGCTATTCTCAACTTTATTTTCTTTGTTCTTAGTTTGATACGTTTTGTTTTGATACAGAAGATACCTACAAACCGCCCCTCAAAGTATATCCCCCAAAATAGCTAAGCAAAAATGCCTCGATGTGGTTGTGACTGATAATGGACATTAATTTCCACCTTCATAGTTGACTGTAAAGGTATAAGCTTTAGCTTTAATCATTTGGTATCAATGTTACCCATTATATTTGACCTGTGTTCAGTGTTTTCATCTGCACTGTTGTAGTCACTGAACATACTGTTATTTTCTCTAAGTTTTCTTTACTCTCAACTTCATTTTGAAGTGATATTTCCACTTCCTCTTACAGCATATCAGAAACCGAGGTGTTGAGTGCAAAGATGATGGACTCACTGTCTTAAGATGACAAAAATAAGTCACTATAAAAACACTGGCAGATTTGGTGCATTTTCAGGACTATTTATTGTTCTCTCAGTTTCATCTATAAATACTTTGGGGATGATCTTGTTTTTCACAGACTCATATTCCTTCTATGGCACATCCCTATTTTATCAGGTGATATTCACAAGCATTCTGCTATATGACATTCTGTAAATGTTTACATTCTGAACTAGGTTGTCTGTGGCTGCCATCTCCGTCCTCTTAGAAAATCAAATGTCTGCTGGCTGAGGGAGTTTAAGGCTTCTTCACTGCAGTGGTTACTCACACTGATTAAGCTTCTGTAGGCAAAAGCAACGGTCATCATCAGTATCTTTTCCTTTATCTAGCTTTAATTTTTGAATGTTTATAGCTTGCTGAAGAGAAATGACATGAGATGATAGGAAGAAAGCTGGATTTAGTGTCAGAAAGAAAACCCTGTTTCTGACACTTTCCAGCTGTATGACCATGAACAAGCACTTAACTCTGATTTTGTTTCATCATCTGTAAAATAGAGACAATAATACCTAAAAGCATCTTCCTCATGGGGTGAAGTGCAAATAAAATAATGGATAGAGTGTGTTGGGCAAATTCTAAAGCACTAAATCAATGGTTATTTTTTTTTAATAGGCAGGAGTATAACTGTTATAATTGCCAACAGTTTCTTTTGGTTTGGTGTAAATGCTAATCTTTATTCTAACAAAATAACAAACTAGTTGCACAGTTAGCTGATTCAGAAATGCCTTTCACACTAATAGCCAACCATTTCCTATCGATTAAGATGACAGTTTTTGTAGTGTGGTTTAGTGCTTGCCATGTTCAAAACCCTTCAACTCTAATCTGGAAGAAAGTAATAATAATGATGATAATGAAGATGATGATGATGATGATGATGACAATAATAATAGCTAACATTTATATAGAGCTTACTACGTGCACCGTCCTAAGCACTTTACAATTATTATCTTATTGGGTCCTCACAATAACCCTGGGAGACAGGTGCTACTATTATCTCCATTCCACAGATAAATCTGCACAATATCTAGGCAGAAGGCTTCTGAGTATTCTATAAGCCTTTGGCTTTTTTGTTTCTTAATCATATCTTCATTTTGGAACCATATATTCCAATGAACTTTTCGCCACTCTCCCCTATGCCCACCTTCCGGATGAAGTCTCTAAGTATCCATGTATACACTGACTTCTTTTTGGAAAATATTTTTGAGTTTTTCATAGATCATCTTCATAGTGCTCCCCTTGCTAATGCTCATCAAGGGCCACACTTAGAGGTGAGATGCAAGTGTCCTAATTCTATGCCTCTGGGTGTATGACCAACTCAATGCTGCTGGCACGTTTGTCTCTCCTAGGAGAACCTGCAAGCCATCCTTCCATTTAGCTGTAACCTTTCTGGGTCTCCTAGTTACATTTAGAGTAAGAGAGTCAGTACTGATGTGGTCCAGTTCCTCCAGTAATACACTGACTCACTGTCCACTGGACAAGGATCTCATACTCAGAGTAACAAGAATTAAGATTTAACGCTTGTAGAATGTCTAAAAACTGCCTGTGAGAACTCTGTACCTCTTTTTTGGCCACTATGCTACTATTACTGCAGAAGCAGAAGAGGGCTTCATAAAACTATGGAACATTTTGTATTTTTTTGTTTGTTTTGTGGGCTGCCATGGCCAAAGAATTCATCACCCAACAGTCAACCTACTGGTGAGGGTCCTCTCGGTATTAGCTAGGCTGGTTCTCCTACAGCAGAAAGAGTCTGCTATTGTGACTATACTCACTTTTTCCAGCTTAGTAAAACCTGCCAGAACTCCACTGACAAAGCCTTGAAGAATCATTGGGAGTCAACTCCAAAGTAAGATGAGGCATCAGAATAGAACTTTTTTCTTATTTATCATATATTATGGCTATTTATGAGGCAGTGAGGTGGTGCAGTGGAGAGAGTGCTTGGCCTGGAGTCAGGAACACTCATCTTCCCGAGTTCAAATCTCTCCTCAGACACTTACTAGCTGTGTGACCTTGGGCAAGTCACTTAACTCAATTTGCCTCAGTTTCCTTGTCTGCAAAATGAGCTGGAGAAAGAAATGGCAAACCACTCCACTATCTCTGCCTAGAAAACCCCAAACAGGGTCACCAAGAATTGAACACGACTGAAATGACTAACAATAACAGTTATTTATGTACATATCATATCCTGGAAACTCCATGAGGAGAGGAACTAGGTCTCATCTCCACTAAACTTCCTATCTCCTATGGAAGCTAACACAGGATTTGCCCCCATTACACACTTAATAAATGCTTATTATATCATATTATATTGTCTGGGACTATATTCTCACAGCCTGCTCCAGCTCTGGCAAGAGAGAGAGCAGAGTGAGGAAGGTAAAGACAGACTTTGTTCCATGAGGGGAACGTAGAGAGCCTATTGCTGTAACTTCAACTTGGCTTTTCTCAGGCAAAAGGGTCTTATCCCTGAGAGCACCCCCAAAGCAAGAGGAGTCTCCTCAACTCTGGAATCTATACACAGGCTTCTGTTCTCACCAAGCTCTAGTGAGGTACTACAGGACAAGGTGAAAGGCTAAATACAAGCACTCCAGGCTAACATACCTCCTGGTTGAATCGGCAATTGAGGGTGCACCAGCCGATTTGCATGAGCCCCTGGGAGGAGATGAGCACCTCATAGATCCATTTCCCTAGAAGCAAGTCAGATACAAATTGATTCATTAATGAGGAGCTACTATACTTATAGTAAACACCACACTAAGAGTCTCACCACACTGCACTGGGAAAGGTTTCATTTTGTCTTGGCAGGCCTCATTCCACAGAGGCTGCAGGATGCTTCCAGGTCCTGCCTCCTTCCCACTGAGATCTGCTTTGTCTAGCACTCAATAACCCACACTAGCACACAGCACCTAAATCCTCAAAGGTCCCAAAAAAATTAGCATGCAGGACAAGACAACCTTTATCTTTCTCTGTGAAAGGAGACCCCATGAAAGTCCCCTGCCCCCACTACATTCCCTCCAACCAGTTGAAGGTACTTACCTTTATACACACAGGTGGTGGCCCGAATGGAACCAAAGTTACTGTGTCCAATAACCTAAACCAAGGAAGGAAATGGATTTGGGTCTTAGGATAAATCCCTACCTATACTCTTTCTGCAACAGACAATAATTGTTTCCCTTCCAGAACTTTGAAATATGAGAAACAAAAGTCTCTCTTGGACAAGGGAAAGGATGCATCATCTCAATGAGATCTGGTCAAAGCTCTCATGTTATGCCTTCCCCTAATCACTATGCTCAAGAATAGCAGAGAGACATAGCCAGGCCCCACAAGGTTAAGGAGGATTAGCATTACTTGTGTAACTTGTCTATTTGATTCACTTCCTTCTTTTTATTTTATTTTATTTTTTTTATTTAAATTTATTTATTTTTCAACATTCACTTCCACAAGATTTTGAGTTCCAAATTTTCTCTCCATCTCCTCCCTCCCCCCCCACCCCAACACGGCATGTATTCTGAATATCCCTTCTCCTTATCTGCTCTCCCTTCTATCTCTCCCCCCTTCTCTTATCCCCTTCCCCTTCTATTTTCCTGTAGGGCAGGATATATTTCTATACCCCATTTCCTGTATATCTTATTTCCCAGTTGCAGATTCACCACCTTTTTTCAAAGAGGCCCAAACCCAGAAAGGTTAACTCGGTTCCCCATTCACAAACCATCAGGTTGCATGCACCCTGACCAGAGGAATCAGAGACTCAAGCTATGAGTGTCAAAATCTAAGCAGCAAGTTGCAGCATGGAACAAATTAGGACAGCCATTACCTGAGGATTTCCACAACTGTGAGGTGCCACCACCCTCCCTAATGTTGACAGAGGCCACCCACTCTCCACTTCTAAGTCCCCTCCAAACTCACACCAAGAAGGTCATCATCCACCAGGAGTAGCCCTTCGAAGCCGCTTGTGTGATCCAGGACCACAGTGGATGGCCCAAGCCGCCCTTCTACAGGCTGTTCTGAAACAGAGAAGGGATGGGACAATCAGCTAAAATCATCTGGAGCAAAACCAAAGACCCAAACAAGCAGGAGGCTGAGGTGTGCTACCAGTGAGAAGGCTCTCCTTGTGGTCAGTCCCAAACCACCTCACCTGATGGGTTAAAATCAGACTGACATTCTTAGAACAACTTTCAAAGCCTCAGCTTTTCACAAGGAAATCGATATCTGATGGGATCACCTACTTAGATTACTGCAATTTTCCCAGCCTGGGCTTACTCCCTAAATCTAAGGATATTCAAAGCTTCTGTAAGAGCTTCCTCTATTTACTCTTTTTTTTTTTTTTTTTTTGGCTAGGCAATTGGGGTTAAGTGACTTGCCCAGAGTCACACAGCTAGGAAGTATTATGCGTCTGAGGCCGGATTTGAACTCAGGTCCCCCTGACTCCAGGGCCAGTGCTCTATCCACTTTGCCACCAGCTGCCCCTAAGAGCTTCCTCTATTTAGGCCTCTCTGAGAAGCCCAAAGCAAGTCCTGAGGTCTGCCAAATAAGAAAGAAGCTAGAAGAGGAACACCCTGGATGAGAGAGATCCAGGTCTCTTTTGAAGAGCCTTTGTGGAGAAGGGGAAAGTTTCAGGAGGCAAGCACTAGTCATTCCATAAATGCACACTCCTCCTGGGGTCCCATTTTAGGGGAACGAGGTGGCTACACGAGCATTTTTCTCACAAGAGGTCCCAGCCCCTGCAATGCCTTGGCCTTGCTCCATTCTAAAAGCCCTCATCTACCCCTCTGTCTATGAACCTAGTGCAAAAAACTGGTTTTCAGTCATCACCACCATATGAGCATGGATTTCTGCCACCTTAGGAATACTCTCTACCTTCACTCTCTTCAGCCTCATCCTCCTCCTTCAGCAGCTGGTCCAGATGTTCCTGAAGGTTCTGAAAAGTCAGAGGTTTTCTGGAAAAAGAGGGTAAGAGAGAGACTTACTTCATCTATTCCAGGCAATAGGGGTTTATTGAGCTGCAAGAGTTTAAGCATCAGAGCCATATTTCCCTAACCCTGAAGAGGACACAAAATACCAATGACAGTCGAGTAAACCGTTGTTAATCCCCTCTAATGAAGCCACATGTCCTGGTGCTAGAGGATGGGGCCCTGGGGAGCTGGCACTGTAAGTGGATGAATTAAGAGATATGGCTGTAAGGCCCAGAGAGATACAAACAGAATCTCAAAATATCAGAGTTAAAAGAGATCTCAAAGGTCATAAAATCCAACTCATACATTTAGGTTTGATGCAAGAGAAACTTCCTAATAATTAGAGCTGTTCAACAATGGAGTAAGATTCCTTGGGAGGCAGTGAGCTCCCCCATAGTGAAGATCTTTAAAAAAATAAACCAGAGAGAGAGCTGATGTCTACTCATCAAGAACGTTGTAAAGGAGATTCTTGCTTAGATATAGGCTGGACTAGATGTAGCCTCTGTGGGCTCCACCCACTCTGAGACACTAGGATATCCGAAGAGGAATCCCCAACAAGTGGTCCACCAGCCTTTGCTTAAAGACAGTCAGTGATGGACAGTGAACCTGCCACCCCCAAAGGCTCCCACTGAAATATTTGGATCACCTAAGCCAGTCTCCCTAGCACTTTCCCCTCTTAGTGTTATCCTATGTAGCCAAGAAAGCACCAGATGCTTAAGAACATGGGTTCATCACTAGCTGGAGGAGCTCCAAGGCCAATGTCAACATAAAAAATGAGCTGAACTAGAACAGCTGGTAGATTTGATCTATGCCACACCAACAAATGCTGGCCTACTCACAAAAGACAGGTGAAGAAGAGGCTAGATTCTTACTATGTCACTCAGTCCCATCTCTAAAGTCAGAAAATCCTGTTTACATATATAAGCCCTATTCCTTTGTTTCTCAGAAACAGTGAGCTGATCTGTAATACAAGTGTAAATGTCAAGCCAATCCTTAATTTTGGATAGATGTAAAGATGGTAGAGGAACTGCAAACATCTCTCCCTACCTCTTGCCTCAATCATCCTTGATTCAATCCCAGAAGAAACAGAAGACAGAAATATAACTGGAGTGATTTTTAAAAATGTTGCCCTAACCCTCAGCTACCATGTACCATCTTAACTGCATGTGTGAATCCTAAAATATTAAAGGCAGATATTCATGATGTTACCAACAGTGCCTCATCCCAGGACTAAAGGTAACCTCTGCTTTCCCTCCTGTCCACTGTAACCTTAACTCATTTCCCAGTAGTAAAAAGGTCTTGGTGTTATTCTTAGCTTCCCTCGCTGCTCTGACATGAGCTCAGCATCTAAGAATAGAGGAAGGAATGTAACCTTAGGAGGGCTCAGGCAATGTATTCCTGGGCATCTTTCCTCCAAACAATTCTCCACAGGGCCCCAGGGCCCTTCCACCAGTGGCAAAAAATACCAGTCACTCAGATTTATTGCCAGCCCAGCAATGGCACAAACTTGTCTGCAGTTTTTCCCTTACTCCAGCTATCTAAGCTGGCCTCATCAAACAGGTAAACCTGCCTGCAGCACACTCTCAGGTGGTCCTTTGCTACCACACAGCTTTCATCCAATTACCCTTTTATTGCTAACGCAAGAGGAGGGTTGTGAGATGGTGAACAATTCTCTCCATCTCTATATCATTCCCACAACAAGGCAGCAGAGAAGCCTCGGACCCAGCAGTTCCTGCTTCCTCCTGTATCTTACCTCCGTTACCCAGGAAAGAAGCTGCAGGAGGAATTTGGATGTGATGTCTCCACAATAACTTCCCTGGTGCCATGGCCCTCAGGCTCCAGAGCTATCATATCCCACCCTAATGCTGGCAGTGGGGCATGGCAGCGATTCCTGGCTGAGACTGCCACTCACCTACCCACTTGTGAGGTGTAACAAGTAGCTCACTTTAAATAAACCCAATACTGGAAAGTCTAGGCTCTTCATGCATAAGAAATTCACTTTCCAAAATAATTCCTCCAGCTGAAAATAATTTCTCCTTCCTCAAACTTAAGTGGAGTACTCTGGCTGTATCCTTTCCCCTAAAACCTTCTCTTTTGCATCATATTTACCTGGGAATATTTACCTTATCCACCCTAACCTCCAAGAGACTTTAAGTTTCTAAAGAGCAGAGACAATGTAATTATCTTGGATCTCCAGCACTAAACAAATAGCAGGCACTTAAAAATGGCTGCTGAATTGAAAAAGATTCACTTTCCCAAAAAATTCACCATAGGACTCCTTTAAATAGCAGTGTGCCACAGGAGAAATAGGACTGGACTTCAAGTCAGGAGAACTAGGATGGAGGCCTGGCACTGGCAAAAGTTCCATCCCTTTGAACTCTTGAGCAAATTATTATTTCCCTTCTCTGAGCCTCAGCTTCCTCTTCTGTAAAATGGCGATAATCAATGAGGAAAATGAAACTCATGTACATTAAGTACTTTATATACCATAAGTCATTTTACAAATGTAAGGTAATAATAATGACAATAATAGCTTATCAGTGAATACCTGTCAAGATGGCTATCCACTCACATGAGGGCCCTGGTGATCCTGGCTGGTATTCTGACTACACTGTAAGCTTCAGATGCCATGATATCTCTATGGCTCAGCTTCTTGGGAAAACCTGCCCTGACCCCCACAGCCTACAAGGACCTTTCTTTCTGCTGAGCTCCTAACGCACTTGCAAGCTGTCCCATTTGTTGAACACTTACTTAGACTGCACTGTCCTGCATTATTTACCTTTTCACGGTGGACACAGTTGATTGCCCTATACAGACTGGACACTTAGAAGAAGGTAGAGAATGTGTTGTGTATCATATCAGCCTGACTAAAATAAAAGCCAACCTTTTTTTTCTCTCTCCATCTGACTGTTAGCGAACACCACGTGACAGCTTAAAATGGTGTTCTTTTTCTGGTTCTACCTATATATTGTTTTTCATTTCAGAAAGATCTCATTTTACATGTGCAACCCATACTCATCAATGACCTATATTCACACCAATAAGGAACCTTCTCTGTATTCCTGAGAGTGCCTGCTATAAAGCTCTGCACATAAAAGGTGATAAATATTTATTCATCATTTGTTAATGACAGAACACCTCCTCCTACCTCCAAAAGGATGGGTCCCAAGAGTAGCAGCAGCTCCCACCCCAAATCAGCCCTGTACTTGACACAGAGAAGACATCCACTATACCTGGTAGCTGTGGTGGAGGGGATCTGGTCTGGGCTGGGAAAGATACGCTGTAGGTAGTCATTCAGTAACTTTTCGTTGACAATACCTGTAAGCACATGAAGCCAAATGGGGAAAAAACAAGGGAATAAAAGTCATTATGGTTAACAAGGTGCTAAGTCACCTGTACAGTATTTGGGCTAGTCACTCCCCAGCTGAGCTAAAGGAATACTGAGGAAAGGAAGCCACATTTTGCAGGAAGGTGTAAGAATTTCGGCAAGTTATACAATCCGCTGCTATTGAAGACAAAGGAAAACATTGTCAATGGATTGTTATTCAGAGGCTGGTGGGCTAATTTATACATTTCTGGGCCTTCTGCTTCTCCTCAAAACACTTTCTTGACCTAAATGGCTGAATTAATAACTGCTGGTAATGTGGTCAACAAGAACTCTAGAGTTCCCTCCTCCGTGGCCTCCCCTTCTTGGCCCAGGACGCCCACCTGTGACTTTGGGCTTCTCAGAATCAGAGGCCAGTCTGTAACTCTTTTGGGAGAAAGATGTGCCTGCCCCTTTTGACGTCATTCTTCATTTCTCAGTGAACAGTCAGGTGATCCTGGGGTGGGAACACAAAGCACAGATTTTCACACATAATCAATACAACCTAAATTTGTTAACTATACTTATCTGTTACAAAGGAGAATTTTCGGATTGGGGTGGGGGAGTTGGGGAGGGAGGGTGAAGAAAGGGTGGAAGTGCTGTATGAGGATTGGGTATAGGGATGGTGACGTAAAAAAATAAAGAGTATCAATGCAACATTTTAAAAATACACAGATTAGAGCAGAAGGAAGTTCAGAAGAAGATGAAGACAAGCAGAGCAGTGCTGGCATTACCATGTTACACTTTCAAACAATAAGCTGCTCATAATGGATTCATGGTTTTCTATACAATCCTCTTTTTCTGTCCTTTGTATACAGAAATGCTCATGTCAGTTGATGCCTGTCAGGTTCATAATAAGTATATATTTTTAAAAAATAGTAGAGACTGCTTGCAAATGGCAGCAAAAGTATGGGCTGAACATATAAACACAAGAATGACTCTCACGGCCCTAGCCACTGTTTCTCCTTTGCGTGTTCTCCCCGAGCGCAATGGACTAAACAGTGATGGCTAGAGACAAACTTTTCAAGCCAACTGACTACCTTGGAAGTCCAGGAATTCCTGGGTTCCTCAGTCAGTGCCAGCTGCCCTGTTGGAGATGCTCCCTGAAACTACAATTTTTTTTTTTTTTGGCAACTGGGGTTAAGTGACTTGCCCAAGATCACACAGCTAGTAAGTGGCAAGTGTTTGGTCTGAAGCCGCATTTGAACTCAGGTCCTTCTGACTTCAGGGCTGGTGTTCTATCCACTGTGCCACCTAGCTGCCCTGAAACTACAATTTCTTGCAGAACATGTCCACCAACTAGCTGGCCCCCACACCTAGAATGTACTCTCCCATCTCACCTGTCTCTTAAAATTCTTAGTTTTCCTCAAAGCTATCTGAGGCCTTTCTTCATTTCCCAGTTGCTACTGCCACCCATGAAATATTGCCTTGTATTTTGTTTGTATATGTGTGTATGCTTTATATATATATATATATATATAAACACATATATGTGTATATATATGTAATGCAAATGTTTTCTGCAACAAGTTGTGAAATTACACATGTGTATGCACATGTAGTCTCGCTCAAACAGAATGTAAAACCACTTGAGGACAGAGACTGTTTCATTTTTATTTCTGCAGAGTGCCTAGAACAAAAGCTAGGTAATCATTAACTGCTGCTACAGCATTACTATGAACATTGTAGCCATCAAGGGAATCTTCTTTCCTATCTAACCTCCTTTTGTATATATGCCCAGCAGCAGAATCTCTAATCAAAGGGTATAAATATTTAGGGACTTGTATTGCCTAATTACAAATTAATTTCCAGAATGGCCAGACCAATTCATAGCTCTACCAACAGTGTATATTAGTGTGTCTGTCTTCCCACTTCCCACAGCCTCTCCAACATGGATTGTTTCTTTTCTTTCTTTCTTTCTTTTTTGGTGAAGCATTTGGGGTTAAGTGACTTGCCCAGAGTCACACAGCTACTGAGTGTTATGTGTCTAAGGCCGCATTTGAACTTCAGGTCCTCCTGACTCCAGAGCTGTTGGTCTGTCCACTGCGCCACCTAGCTGCCCCCAACATGGATTATTTCTGTCTTTTGTCATTGCTAACAATTTACTGGGTGAAGTAAATCTCAGGATTGTTTTAATTTGTATTTCTCTTATTATTAGTTATTTGAAACAATTTTTATATGGTAGTTGATAGTTTACACTCTTCTTTTGAAAACTTAAGTCTTTTAACCACCTGAATGTGTTCTTGGCTTTTAAATATTTATATAAATTCCATACGTCTTGAATATCAAAAAAAATAGTTAATGTAAAGGTTTTTTTCCAGTTAGCAATTTTCTCATTCTAGCTGTAACGATTCTGTCTTATGCAAAAATTTTACAATTTTTTGTGGATTTCTATTTTCTTTTTTTATGATCCCCTTCTTTAAGAGTTCTCCAAATCATAAGGTGCCTTCTTCCATTCCATAATTTTTATCATGCTATGACCTTTTATTTTAGGTCATGTATTCATTTGAAAATTATTATGGCATATTTCATAAAATCTTAGTCTCAATACTGAGATACTGTTATCAACACTGGGCTACTATGTTCCATTGTTTCTGGTTCTTGCTCACCAAGTCTGTCTCACTGATCTTCTATTTTTTAACTAGTAACAAATAGTTTTGATAGCTTATGCATCATGAAATACTTTGAAGACTGAGAGTGCTGTTCTTCATTCCTAATTTAACTATTTTCCTTAGGATTCTATATCTTTATCTTTTAAATGAATTTTGCTATTATTTGTTCTATTAGTTCTGTAAAGTAACACAATTATTAACTTGGTTAGCATAACACTAAATCTTTAACTTGAGCATCATTATTTGTATTTTATTAGTCAACACAAAAAGGGACAGTGAATATCCCTTTGCTTGTTTAACTCTTATTTCTGTAAAAAGTAGTTTGTATTTTTCTGTAAGTCTTCGGTGTGTCTTGTTAAGTTGACACACAGATATTTTATGCCTCTTGTAGTTATTTTAAATGGGATTTCTCTCATTCCCTACTAGTTTTTGTTACTGCTACATAGAAATGACATTTGTGGATTTCCTTTGTATCCTCCTATTTTACTGAAGCTACTAATAACAAGCTTCTCCATTCTCTGTAATATTCTAAATAAAGTATTATGTCTAAAGATAGGAGTAACTTTTTTTTCCACTTTCCTGATGTTTATGGTTTTAATTTCTAGTCTTATTTCACTAGTAATTCTAAAACTGTTAGTGTGGAAAATGTTAAACTGTGCATATTCTTTGATCCAATAATCCCACTTCTAGGTCTATGCCCCAAATATATTATATCATAAATGTGTGTGTGTATATGTGTATATATATACATATATACACATATACACACACACACACACACACACACACACACATATATATATATATATATGTATGTACACATATATATGTATAGTAAGTTTTTTTGTGGTGGAAAAGAATTAAATACTGAGTAGATGTCCATCAACTAAGGAATGGCTAAACACATTATGGTATACGAATGTGATGTAATACTATTGTGCTGTAAGACACGATGAAGGGGACATTTCAGAGAAACCTGGGATGACTCATGTGAAGCAAGCAGAACCAAGAAAACAGTTTATACAATAACAATAGTATTGTAACGACAAACAACTTTGAAAGACTCAGGAACCTGGATCCATGCAACGACTGGCCCATGATCTCAGAGGAGTCATGGTGAAACATGCTACTTACGTCCTGAAAGACAGGTAACAGACTCAGGAGTACAGACTGAGATTTTTTGAGGGGAACATGGCCAGTGTGAGAAATTGTTTTGCCAACTATGCAGGTTTGTAACCGAGATTTTGTTTTCTTTGTTTCTCAATGGAGGAAAAGGAAAGCAAAGAAGGCAGATTTTTGTTGACTGAAAAATTTTAATTTAAAAATAATAAAAATAATAGTAGTAGAGAAAAAGGAGTCCTTACTTTACCCTTGTACTTATTAGGAGAATTTCTTATATTTCTCCATTGCAAATAATATTAATTTTGGTTTCAGAGATAGACTTTTAAAAAAATAGTATTTTTAGGATTATAGATTTTTTTTAAGGCAGTTGGGGTTAAGTGACTTGCCCAGGGTCACACAGCTGGTAAGTGTGAAGTGTTTGGTCTGAGGCCGCATTTGAACTCAGGTCCTCCTGACTTCAGGGCTGGTGTCTATCCACTGCGCCACCTAGCTGCCCCTAACAAATAGTATTTTTTAAAGGGCATTTCCACACCTTTGCTTTTTAGGGTTTAAGGCAGAAATGAATATTTAATTTTGTCAAAGCCTTTACCTACTTCAAGTGGGTTGTTTTGTTTTGGGTTTTTTTGATTAACATGATTAATTGTCCTAATTTCCTCATTGTTAAACCATTTTATCTTAGCCAAAGTGAATAATTTTTGGATAAATTGCTAGTCTTTTTACTAGAATTATTTTAAAATTTTATATCAATATTCATTGCTGACATTGACTTATATTCTCTTTCTCTGCTTTATCCCTCCTCCATTTGGGTATCAAGGACATATTTGCCTTATAAAAGGAGTTTTCTGGAGAACCTTATTTTTTAATTACCCAGAATAATTTTTATAGCATTAAGTATTAATTACTCTTTACATATCTGGTAGTCTTCACTTGTACACCTGCCTGGGCCAAGGTTTTCTCTTCTCCCATTTAGTATTTCATTTGTGACTTTTTTTTGTTCTTTTCAGTGAGGCAATCAAGGTTAAGTGACTTGCCCAGGATCACACAGCTAGTAAGTGTCAAGTGTCTAAGGCTGAATTTGAATTCAGATCTTCCTGACTCCAAGGCCAGAGCTTTATCCACTACACCACCTAGCTGCCCCTCATTTATGACTTCTTTCTTAGACTGAGCTGCTAAGAAATTACTATGTATTTGTTCCATGTTTTCAACTAGTATCTAGATGGCACATTATGCTGTCTCCATTCTTTTCTTCTTTTGATTAGCATATCCAAGAAAAGAATGTTGACCATTCTGGTCTATCTCTTCTCCCTAAAGCCTGTTTCTTGACCATCCATCTTATGCAATGTTCTCCAACAAGGCACTTTCTTCTTTTTTCTCCTTCTTTTCCCATCACTTATACTCTCCAGATTCTACTCCATTATTTTGCCTGAGTCACGTACCTTTCCTCCTCCCTCAATTTTTGTGCTTCCTTTTGTGCTGTCTTTACCCATTAGATTGTAAAATCCTTGGAGGCACAGACTGTCCTTTTCTTATTGCTATCTCCAGTGCTTGGCCCAGTCCCTAGCACAGAGTAGGCACTTAATAAATGTTTATTTTACTGTATTATATTCTGGAGGAGACAAGATGGTCCAAAGCCCTCCAAATTTGGAGATAACAGTCAGATCGAGTGCCATTTCCACTACGCTATGCTGAGTCTCTTTCCCAAAAACATTTCATCCTGACATTT